GTTTTTGTAAATAACATGCAAATGGGAGTTTTGCTTCCCTGTCCAATGGTCTGTAACCGGTCAGTTGGTATTTTCGAGTAAATAACTCTGCAGCGAAGTCCTCCTTTCTTTCGCCAGTATAATCGAATTATGTGCACTCTCTCTAGACTCCGTAAACTACTGAATGAAACCGGAGCTTGAATTTGGTCACCTAGACACAAGATGAGGTTTCTCGAGCGTGCCACATGGAATTTTGATAAAAACGACATTACAAGCATACTATGTACTACTGTTATTGCCCCCACACATACGCTATCACAACCAACTTTTCGTCTCCTGACAAGAGAAAGCGTTAGGAGTGAAAACATCATTCAGTCGCTGTCTGATAAGATGCAGTATGAGCGTGTACGAGTAATGTCACCACTGATTACTTGTCGTTGAGTAGAGCAACATGCAACGGGTTTTGCCAAACCCCATGAAAATTGAGAGGAGTGACGCTTCTAAAAAAAACACAACGTGCATACTGCAGTCTTGGAATGCAGTGCTAGACACCCGTATGTCTCACAGGTCCAGTGCCGATGGCTTACCACAGTAGATCGCGGAGGCAAGTAAGCCCTATTGCACGATCGATGGGCTAGACTAAGTTGGTCATGCAATGGCCGGGCCGGTGTTAGTCAGCTGCAACCAAGATTTGGTACTTCAACCACTTTACGCGGGGCCCATTATCCGCACAATGCTCCCAGCTGCAAAACCTTTACAAGTGGAGCAAAACATTTTGCACAAAAACGTTGCATTTTGTTGCGCATGTGCTCAAACCAAAAACCGTCCTAATCTACCTTCATGTATTTTTGCAGCTCACCAAATTTGATTGTTCACTAAAGCAATCATATATCTGGCTGAAAAGTCTTGTGGGATAATTGCCCAGCATCACCGAGACCTCGAGGTGCCTAAATGGGGTTTAAAAGTTTGGACTGGTACTCCTAACTCAATTGCCCGATTGCTTTAGTCCATCAGGGACACGTCATAGCTTTCGGAAATTCAATTCTATTGTGCGAATACCGAGCGCCACCTTACGCTTGTTTGGTTTCCGGGACAAGCGATTTACCAACAGGTCATTTCTTAATCAGGTCGAGCTGAGTGGATCGGTTGGTGAACACGTAATCAAATCAAACAAGATTGTAACGAAAACAAGCAATGATCCCATTTATTCCCTATTAAGTACAATGGCACAAACCAAAAAGTGCACAGCACAGGACATCCAAAAATAAGTATATAAATGGCAGCGGTCGAGAAGCGATCCTCGAAGGTCTAAGCAAGTTGATCGGAATTTCGTCTCATAGGTAAGAAAACAAAAATACATAGCTAGTATGAAGTCAGGGGCAAGACGGAAAGACGCGTAAACCAGAAAAAAGAACAACGGAAAGTGCTAAGGGCCAGGTGCGACAGGGAATTCGGCGATGCAAGGGGAAAGGGGCATCTGTCGGAAACCCGTAATAAAAAAAGTTTAAATGTCTCGATCACGTGATATCAAAATCGTATAGAAGTACGCTTTTGTCATACGAGCCAGAGATCAAAACGGAAGAAGTCACGAGGACACATGTGATTCCATCTTCATGTCCTTGTAGTACATTGACAAGCTGATCGTTGTCAGCACGCCAGACCTGGGACGAACAGACAAAGAAAGAGATAAAAATGGACGAACTTTAAAGCACGAAAAGAAAGGTGACAGATAGACTATCCGTCGTTCAGGTGAACCCGAGGTGACTGTTGAATAATACTGATTCCGGGAAGACCGAAAGGAAACTCAACTCAACTTGCGACGCTGCACCCTTAGAGAAGTGAGGCGCGCTGAATGTCATCGAGAGTGTACGCGAACCAAAACTCAACAAAACGTACGAGTTGACCACTAAGATCGAGTAATCACAACAGATACACACGAGTTACGTCCAGATGCAATTATGTGCTGGATCGTTTAAAATGGGTCCAGTATCTTAGGTTTTGCGTCGATGTATTTCCTCCGAACGTTAGAAGACTCCTGACACGCGAACGAATGCCGTTTTGCGTGTTTGGTCCGCACAGCAGTTACAAAGTTCACACAGCTCGACACAATCGGAGGCGAGGAAAATACTCTGCCGACGTTCAGTCCTTTCAACCAAATTGTACCACTACCTCGGATCTTGAATTACCAGCAAGGTAAGAAGAAACGTACCCAAAGGTTCACTACAAACTTTACACAAGATATCTATTGCTGCCAAAAACTTCACATTGAACGTCATGTTCTTTTCACTTGTCACAGCTTTTACCAGAAACTATAAAAATTATGATAAAGACCTGAAAATAGTGAGGCGCATGTATTCAGCCAACCAAGTCTGTGGAGATAGTTCAGATGTAACAGTTCAACGCCAGGAAATCGCGGTAAAGACCCAGTAACCTTCTTGATCATTTTATGTAACTTCGAAAGACGTCATTAACGAACAGATCGATTCCTAATGTGCTATGATTACAAGGATGTTGGAGAGAGGAAGCAGATTACAGCATCCTATATGGATACTGGCACTAAATTGATCATTGTGAACTACACGCTTTTGTGCAAATCCACATGGATCGTTTGAGCAACCCGATGATATCACGGCCCTTGCAATCAGTGACCATTCATTTCCATTTTATTTGTATTTCGTCCGTGGTGTGAAAACGCTGGTGAAGAGGAATTGCAAACAGATCGACATTATTCGAGCAGTTCATTCGCCACAGAAAAAAGTTGTTCCTTAAGAGCATGCTTTCAACCCTAGCGATTCTCACGTCATAATGAGTTAAAATCTATTGTGGAGTTCTTTTGCTGGTTTCAGAACCACTGACTGTGGTTCTGAAACTCGTGGATCGACGTTCCAGTAAGCTAGGCAATGGGTGAACAGCTTACTGCAACACACTGTTCACGAGGCAAGCCCGTCAGATCAGGGCTTTATCTTGTACTGACTGTGCTTTTCCCCTGTGTCGAGAGAAAATTCAGCGATAACACCACTTTGGTTCAGCTTCCGTGTCACCAAAAGGAAACATGGGGGCTGAGATATTGCCAGATTGCCCAAGCCTAGACAGGAGCAGTCGAGATACAGAGGTTGGGTTCGAACCTCGTGGCCAGTAACTCTGCGTCTTAATCACTGAATTACCCGTAGAGCACAAGCGCAATTAATAGCCATCCTCACAACACAGGATTGCAGGTCAGTCTGCGTAACCTAAAATTAAGGGAGCAATCAAGTTGCTATACCGAACGCGAAGGATTTGGGTCTCAAATGACCACCAGCTAAAGGCATAGCAGGCTGAGTTGGAGTAAGCAGTGATCCAAAACGCCACAACAGCGAAAACCGCGTGGGATAGATGAGTTAATATATGTTCCAAAGCCAAAAGGATAGCAACCATTTATTCCAATGCTGATCGAGTGTGTGTGTGTGTGTGTGACTTTGTCGCGCTTCAGCTAACGAACGGTAGAGTCAGCATGGTGCGTAGATCTGAGCAAAACCATTTTACGAAGGTCGCAGTATATCATTTCCAGCACCAGGTTGCTACACAGTTTATCGGTGTCGATGAATCAAAAATTTCAAATGAAACTCAGATGGCTTACAGAGGCTCTGTTTAGGGGAAGAGTGAGCCGGTTTAGTGCGGCTGACACTAAATCTAAAAGAAAAAGTGCTGGAATTCAAAATAACCAAAGAACGAGGCCGACTTTCTAGTGTTAAAGAATAGAGCTCTCATGTTTTTCTAAACTAGTGATCGACAGCGATGGCCTTTGTCGTCGACAACAGGACGGTTGGGCAACGGGAACACGAGGTTACACTGACAACCCATCGTAGTACATTGAATGCAGTTGGTATTTTCATGTTTTACAGTCTCGTTGTGTTATCTTCGCGAAAGAGAGTGGATTTGTCAAGGGCACACTACTAAGCAGAGTTGTCACCACTCATTCCGCCTTCGTGTGCGAATGATGCATACTGTTTGCTGCCCTGATCTCACTCATATTTCAAGAATGAAAGAAGTCCAATTGGAGAAGGGGTCGATCGGAGAGTAAAAAGTTAGAAAAAGAAACGACGGAGAAATGATAAATACTAAATAGTAGATATGCAAGCTGTGGTGGAAACTAGACAAATGCCCTAGTTGTTTACTAGTGGCAACTTGGGTGTCATTCCCCATTCAGTGGCCTAATCATTCGCACAATGATAAATCCTTAAGGATCTCATCAAACTCTACCGGAATCGGTCTATTTTCTTGTGAGTATCAAAAACTTACAGAAAGTGATGATGCGTCGGAATAAGTAGTCTCATAACCCCGATGGACTCTGAACCATTTGACGGATAAACGTGGTTTTTCGACAGAAAACAAATGGATTAGGGTGGTTCAGATCACAAACATCATCGCTTTACAACCGTGGTTCCAACGCAGTCACCAGACCCTGTGAGGAACCTAACCATGAGTTAACGTCCGAGACGCTTTTCGGTTTGTTCATCGTCTGGGCAAACAGCTGTCGGTGCATGCGGACCGTTCGCTAACTCCCATTTCATCCGGTAAACCCTTGCTGTACAAGCCGAAAAAAACCCACTGAAAATCGGCCTCCAGCACTGCAAACAGATCTAGTTAACTCAAGGACGTCACTGTGAACCGTTCCCTTACTGATAATGTATTGTTTGTCGTAATAGGGTGAGCCAGTCTCTTAGAAAGTGACTGTGTTTTCCATATTAGTGCATCTCTTTGAGTAGGTAATCCAAATTCGGAAGACGGTGTGTGTTGAAATATTGGTAGCCCGAATGTATTTACCGGTTGCTGATCAGCTGGCGGCTGGTCTGTTCGTGGGGTTTGACGACTGCGTTGATAGCAAACCATTTGCAAGCCAATCAGCTGATCATTACCATCAGACGGTTCAACAGGCACTTGATCAACACGCCGTACAAATAGACGAGCCATGTACCGACTGATAATATATTCCACACCAAACTGGATTTGGGAGCCACATAAAAAGCCTCCCTTCCACAACAACAACCCTAACACGATTGGTGGGTTGTCTTTGTTGACGTTGAGCAATGGGGTAATCGGTTCACCTATGGAGCCATAGAGACTAATAAACGTTGATTATTGGAGAAAGAACCGAAAAAAAATCGTTATAGCAAAACAGAATGTCCTCCAATGTAGGCATCCATTACCGAGAATTTTTACAACCGACTGGACGTAACACCATCATAAACGAATAATTCAGCTGGATTTAGTTGAGTCAAAACTTAATTCGTATGGAAATAAGAGTGGTTTCCAGACTGATTTATTTTTTCAAAACCAAGCATGATTTCTGTCAAAATACCGATTCACCAAAGTTTCAAAAAAAAAACGAACAAGCCCTGTGGAATTAGCGACGTGGTCAAACATCCGAAAGTTGACTACCCCATCTGTTGCAACCACTGCACGGTAGTTAGACACAGACAGTTATGTGTAAAAAAAACCGGCATTGGGTAAATCACCAGTCAGCAAATCGAGAACTCTGCTCCGAATTTGAAGTACCTATACTGGTGTAATGGTGGATACTACTGATGGGGCATGCTAGTAGTATGTTTTCTCGCAAAATGCGCTTCGCGTCTCTTGAAAAGTGAGACCTATTACGGAATTTGTGGAGTCGCGTAGTACCATTAGCTGGCACTTGAGTACCAGTCAATGAATATCCAGGAAAGTTCAGGAAGACGCGTTCAAGAAGGTGGATATTCAGTTTTGTAAACAAGATGCATATGAGAGTTTTGCTTCCTTGTCCAATAGTCTGTAACTGCTCATTTGGCGTTTTCTAATAAACAACTCCGCAGCGAAGGCCTTCTTCTTTTCACTGATAGGACAGAGGAAGTTGTACAGGAATTTCACATAATATGTATAAAGACTCACAGAGGATCGCTCTTAAGAGGGAGGAATAACGCTGATGACTAAACCCTAATATCAGAATATTCTCACACCATTCAAGTTCACAGCAGACAATGAATTGAGCCGTGTACAAGCTAGGGCGATAAAGAGAGGAAGGAGAAAGGACCTAGCCTCTTTGAGATATGCCCCACTGCCAACATTCAGTCAAGATACATGATAGCCGTTAGCAGACACACTTTGGAAAGCAAGTAGTGAAGGAAGGGTGGGCATTCAAGAAACCACCCCTCTGGTATTTCATGATCTCCGTCAGAGTCTTCCACAGAACGTTTTGGTTCTTCCCTTCGCTGCCAAGTTATTGTTTGACCTCCCCTGGCTCGTTGCCATCCTTCAAGTGGTTGTGCGAAAAGAACTCTACGATGAGTGATGGTTCGTCTTTTCCCAACATCGTCTTGAAGGTAGCTACGATTCTGAAGGCAAGTGATGTAGGTATGACTGTATGGATCGGTTCCAGTTCTTTCGCTAGGGACAGAACCACTTGACCAAGCTTATAGTTAGCTCGAGGATACGGTAATATTGTGATGAAATCGAACACCCATGTCCACACTACCTTGGAAAAGCCTATGTGTAGACACCCAGTTTCCAAAGCTACAGCATTAAAGGATTAACCTCAGAGACACAAAATCACACTTGTACAAAAAACAGTGCTCAGAAAAGCACGTATGAATCTGCCATAGAAGACTGTTAAAGTCACTGCCTACGTGGCTCACGTGAGTGTGTGTGC